AATCCCTTTCCTAGCTGGAGGGCTCTGGTCAAGGCAGTCAACTCGGCCTTTTGGGCGGCAGTGTGAGAGGGCGGAGCAACTGTCTGCAGGCAGGTGGTGGCGGAGCTGGCCTTTCTTACCCCTTCACTATGACGCTGCTACTGTTGGTAAACCTTCTGCATCGGGACTGGGTCGGGGGCTTGTCCTTGTTTGGGCCAACTGGAGTAAACGTGTTGAACAGTCTCCACACAGGAGTGAGCACGGAATCCTTGGGGTGGGGGCTCCAGCATTAGAGCAGCTGGGTCCAGGACTTGGCAGACCTTCAGAGTTGTGCCTGGGGTATCTAGAAGGACGGTTTGGACTTTAAGCAATCGTCCACTCATCAGCCGTTGGTGTACTTTTGCTTCTAGGACTCCTTGTGTCTCGTGGAGTGGGGACTTCCAATGATTGTCCCAGGGTGGACTGATTGGCCTCATCTACTAACAGAGCAGTGGCAGCCACTGCCCTGAGACATCCTGGCCATCCAGTGGCCACCTCACCAAGTTGTTCTAAGAAATAAACTGTTGCTCTAGGGAGGTCCCTGAGGTTTTGGCTGAGGACACCCAGAGCTACCCCTTGTCTCTCAGCTATGTAGAGGGTAAAGGGTTCTTCTAAGTTCCCGAGATCCAATGCAGGCATGGTTCCTGATTTTTGTTTTGGAGCTAGAAATGGCTGTTGGCAATTTTCATCCCAGTTGAGGAGTTTGTGGTCACCTGCTTTTAGGTTCTCACAGAGGGGCTTTACTACGAGCTGATTCCAGTTATCCAGATCCTTCACAATCCTGCCAGCCCCAGAAAGGCGCCCCTGAGTCTGGGGGTTGAAGGGTTATAGCCTCCTTTTGGCCCTGGGTTAGTCCTTGTTCTGGGGGAACACATATCCTGGGTGCTTAGCCTGTTGGGTAGAAATCTGGGCCTTTGAGGAGAAACTCAATATCCTTGTTCCCCTAGGAAGTTGAGGACCTTAATTGTGTTTTTTTTATCTGTGTTCTCCCTAATGGGACTGGAAATTAGGAGATTGTCCAGATACAATAGGAGAGACCAAGTAACCAACTCTAATTCTTTGTCCCTTTGCTAATGCGTTCCCAAACAGGCGGGGGCTGTCCCTGAAGCCTCGGGGCAGCACAGTCCGGGTTAGCTGGGAACTGTAATGAGTGTCTGGATCTGTCCACTCAAAGGCAAAGAGATATTGAGTCTTGTTGCAGGGGAATGCAGAAGATGGTGATCTTAGGTCTAACCCTGTGAACTGGTTTGCATTTTCCAGAACTTGTGTCCGTATGGTGCATGGATTAGGGACAGTCAGGTGAACTGGAATCACTGCCTCATTGGGTCCTTGAACAAACAGGTATTGCCCTTGGGTCTTGAACAAACTGGTATTCTCCTTTGTTTTTTTATGGGCAGAATTGGGGTATTACATGGAGATAGGCAGGGTCCTAACAGCCCATGTTTCAAGAACTTGGTTATTAAAGGCTGGATACCTCGTTGGGCCTCGGGCCTCAAGGGATACTGTTTTTTTGTTTTTCTTTTTTCCCGTGGGTAATCAGCTTTGGGTTTCAGTGAAATCTGTACTGGGGACACATCAGTATCTCTGCCAGGAACCTCAGTGTCCCAGACAGAGGGGTTTACTTGAGAAACAGCATGAGCTGGAAGGGAGCCATCCTCTGAGTGTGACTTAGGCACACAATTGTTTCTCCTGGTGGGTGCCTTCTCCGAGGGGGTTTCTAAATTGACCCATTGTCTGGAATTTAGTGATCAAATTCCTTCCCAACAAGGGGCTGGAGCTTGGGCAGGAACTGGTGTGCAAAGATAAAACTTCCTAGTAAGCAGCCGGGAGTGGGTGTGGGGTGTGGGGAGCGGGGTGAATCACTTGGCTTTGGGCTGTCTACTGATGCTTGTTACTGTACAGGACTGGGAGGACAAGGGTCTAGGAAAATCAGTCAGCATAGTGTAGACAGCCCCCATATTTAATAAAGTAAAATTTCCTATCTGCCATGTCAGGGCTCCTCTGAAGAAATGATCAGGGATCCTCTGGGAGCCAGGGAGGGTCCCGGGCCCCGTCAGTCCTCAGTCCTCTCTGCCATCATTGGTTTGGGAGCCCCAAACCCCTTTCAGGACTGGGGGCAGTCCTGCTTCCAGTGGCCCTCTCGTTTGTATCTTGGCCAGGGGCTCGGTGGACTTTTTCCATACAGGGGGCATTGGTCCTTCCAGTGGCTTTCCTGGCTCCATTTAAAACCAGTCCCTTCTTGGCGGGACAGTGGCTCTGATCCAGATTTTCT